ATGTCTCGTCGCTTATTTCAACTCGTCGTCCAGATAAATAAACATAATTAATATGCTCCCCTTCCTTCCTTCATGCACACACTCCACACTTACATATACACACACCCATTGCATATCACATTCTACGTCAGTAGTGAAAATAAGATTATGCACAACAAAAGTATAGCAATTAGCTGGTTTTGTAGAAGGAAGCAGCTTAAAGCGCTAAACACTGTACTTTGCTGAGGGCCATGTGAGAGGTCAGGTACAAGATACAGGGGTTAGAGAAAAGTCTGTGTTTGTGTGTGTGTCTGCGTATGCATGTGTTTGAGTGCCTCCAAATGTGTGGGGGTTGGCTATTTCATAGACCTTGTGAAAAGCTGGATTTAGGAGAATTGTGCCAACTGGGGGGTCAGAAATCTGTGATGTTTGCAGGTCTCTATAGCAACCAGGCCCTCTGCAGAGAAATCAGAAAAGAAGTAGTTTATGAGGAAGAAAAAGAGAAGGGGGGAAAAAAGGGAGAAGGATTTCATAGTTCATCCAGAGTTTGAATGTATGTTGGGTGGGGGTGGACTCAAGTCTGTGTCATCAGTTGTGATTCAGCTTTGTTATTGTGGTTCAGAGGAACATAAATGTACAGTTGCACTAAGATTAAATCTAAGTCATAGTGAAGGAGTGTGTTTAAAAACAGCATGTCACAGAAATGGGTTAAGACATATCTTTTACCCCTTTCTTATGGCACACTAAATTATGATGTCAAAATGGCCTTGATAATTTAACTGAATTAAGCCTATAATAAGACAGAAGTTAAATGACGTACATCAGACTGGTTGATAAATATTTCATCAAGATGCTCTAGTGAGTAAAGAGGCTGCCTTAAAGCAGAGTCCTGTGTTGTGTGTCGTTTCCATTTAAGATTTAGCTTCTACTTGGTTGAAAGACAGCATGTAGTATCCAATACTTATGCATTTGACTCATAACAGTTCAAAATAGCACTGTAGCAGCAAGACAGAGGGTCAGTGACCTTTGGGGAGGTGTTCTACGGGGAGAGCAGTGATTGGTGGTTATGTAGGGACTGAACCCTTCTATAGAATTTGACCTCTAACCCCTTGTTTTGTTACCTCAAGATAGTACTGTACCCTTCTATGGGTTTGACTTTTTACTTTGCAGACTCAAACCCTTCTATGGTACCTAACAGATACCTAAACATATCCTATATAAGCTATGTTTGATATACAGAGAGACAGAGTGGTCATCGGGCTGGGTCACTCTCCAAGCTGCTGCAGAGCAGTAATTGATGCTGAACTCTTTGATTTAATAAACTTTTATGCTCAAGAACAGTGTCAAGGGGGTTTCCTCTCAACACATCATTGCAGCATTATTGTTCGTACACCACAAGCAAAAGCCCACTTGCTTCAGGGATGCTTTTCTGAAGCTGACCCTGTGGCCTGAACTCCCTGAGAAATAGACCAAGGGAAAAGAGAATTTTTCTCATGGGGATTCATAAAGAATTCATAAGTATTCTTTGTTGAGCACATCTGCTTGTGTGTCTCTCATCTGTCTTACTTTTTCTCCTCATTCCTTCCTTTTTCCTTCTAGCATACTACTTTTGATATCCATTCAGCTTCCTCTAATAACCGTCTGCCTTTCTTCTCCCCTTTCCTAAATTTTTTCACACACAAGCCCCCCTATGTCCAACTCCCACCCGAACTTTACTCTGCACATCCAGCTGCTTTAGCGTTAAAGGAAAGGCCAGCAGAGAGGCGGCAAATGTCTCAACATCTGTGTGTTGGTTTTAGCTCAACAAGTATTTCCACATGTTTCTCTTCCTTTTTCCCTGTCCGATACAAGACTGATCACAACAGCTGGCTTGTTTCCTTGTTAAAGCTGCAGTCTGCGGTTGCATAGAGGATTAGCACGTTTAACATTCTGGATAAAGATGGCTAACACTAACTCACAGGCTAACATGGTGTAAAAATTAGAACATGATGAGTCATATGATAAGACAGCTTACATCGCTACCCACTTGGGAGCCTGTGGCTTTATGGTTCTAACTGGTTTGTAAGTTAACCTTGAGAATCACCCGCCTAGCAGAAGACACAGACATTCTTAGATTCTGCTTTCAACATGCAGCTAACCACAGTTGTCTTTGTGGCTTGTAAAACATGGGACCCAGTGGTGTCAAAATCATTGCGGTTTAGGGCCACACTGCATAGAGCTCTCTCTCCTGGAGTCATTATTTGTCAACCTATTACCCACAGCCAACCATATGTGTGTAGTGATTGTGGCAATAAGAGCTGTCAGAACGAGTGATTGATATAGACAGTGTTGGGAGATGGAGTTCATTGGTCTTTAATCTTCGGTTGAGGCATCACCAGAAAAACATACTTTGTTTGGTGAGAGTTCCTGATTTATTGTTCTCTTCATTTCAGCAGATATACAACACTGTGTGAGTATGTTTCAAAGAGAAATTTTAGCACAAAAGTTGGTTAAAGAAGGGCTGAGACAAAGTAGTTTTCCTTTGTATTCAAACCAATAAGATGAAGCAAGGTAGAACTTGTTTTTAGCTACCAAGAAGCATCCAGAGGTGCTGAATCTAATAATTTTCTCCAGTCTGTCCACACAAGATTAATCCTGCACTGTCTAATTACTTAAGTCCAGTATAAGTTCTAGACGTAGCACCATCTACAATCCAGCTTCACTCCTGCCTTACCAGCTGTGTCTTTTTCTTTATAGATATCTTTATCTGTGTAACCACTGTATGTTATTCACTTATTGCGAAAGAAACTGCCGCTCTGTTGAGCAGTGCTTGCATATCTGCTCACATTCATTTATAAACACTTAAATCCATGCATGTACCCACATACATGCAGGCATGCACACACACACACTTGTCTTTATTAGTATTCTTGTTCTATTTCTTGCTTCCATCTACCTGCATATCCTTTGTTAGCTCTGAATTGCTTTGTGTTAAAAGTAGCATTCCAAAATTATTTTAAGAAAAAAAACCTGTCCTTAACGTTGGTACTTTCGCACCAGTTACCAATTTTATGATAGCTCAGTTACAGGTTTAATATACCAGTGATATCCAATGAACTTTAGCCATGTAAAGAAAATTTTCCATTTAAAAATCAAACATGTTGGAAGTTTTTAGGGGCATACAATAGGAGCAAGTACAGACCTATTTATCCTCTTGGAAAGTGGAAAAGAGTTTTCTGCCCAGACTTGGGTGATGTTTTTGACTGGTTTGAAGTCATGTGCTTAGCATTTTCCATGGGCAGTCAGTCCACTGTCTCCTGATTCCTGGCCTCTGCTAGCAGCCCCTATACTCAGGGACTGGCCCGTGTGGCTAGCGCCAGAAAACAGGACCTTGACTGACACCTCCAGTTTTAAAAGGTTGACTTTGCTTCTCCCACGGGCCCAGTTCTGCCAGAGGAAAGCTTTTCAACCAAGCGTGGCTAAGAATGGAGTACAGAGAGAAGTGTGTGTGTGTGCGTGTGTGTGATTGTATGATTTGGGTTGAGCAAGCAAATGTGTTTGTGGATACATGTGGAGTGGGTGTCTGTCTTCTTTTGTTATCTATCTCAGTTGTGCACTTTTATTTATGCTTATGGGTGTACCTCCTCTCTGAGTCTGCTCTATCCTCCACCCTGGTTAAGACGCACCAGTGAAAGCCTTATCAGCTGTATGATGTATGAGTCCTTGGTGTCTTACTGTATTCCATTCATCTCTATACACTCCCACTTTAATTTGGCTGGGCAAGGGAGGATGTATTCAAATGCCCACCGTCATTTTGATGTACAGCTAGAGTTGGCTGACTGTAGATGAACAGTGTTACTTGTCTTTGAATATCTATAAGACGGGTGGTTGCTCCAGCCTTAGCCCCAGTCTGAGTGTCAGACTCAGATTGATTGTAGCGCCGTCTTAAACCCTCTATGCCTGCCCAAACTGTAGCTTTGTACTCAAGCCTCAGCCATATTCTTTTATTACACTTGAGCTCCAATATTTATCCTGTTCTTATGCAAGCACCAGCTAAGACCTGATATTTCAATCCTTGCCTTAGCCTTAACATTACCTTGATCTCCCACTTAAGTGTTAGTCTTAGTCTCAGGCACCAAGCCATAAACACCATTGCTCAAGCCCCCATAAAAGTCCAGTAGTCCACGACACTGCCTATGTTTCCCTTCCTCTAGATGACAATGAAGATGAAGCTTTAATGTAGTGAAAGATTTGGTCTGTACAGGCCTAGCGCCATGTCACTCCACCAATCTGTTTCCCAGCTTGACTAAACGTATACAGTAAGTGATTTTTAAACTATTGTTGCAATTCCTGTTCTCTTTTCTTCCCATTTTATCTTAAAGCAAAGCTGAGTGAAACGGTTTGTTCCCAAGGCCTGGCTCCAGTGCTCCTTGGGGTGGGACCACTGGTGTGGGAAGTCTATTGTAGTGCAGTAACAAGTTCTTTGTGTGACATTTTCCTTGGCATTGACATTCAGAGGGGAATAGGAAGACGGGTCTGTGGACGCTACATTCTGCATGACATGTAAAGGGAAAGGGTATTAAGAATGGGGACCGAGGTATTTGAACGTGCAAAGGGAAGGACATTTGCACAGAACGTGACAAGGACACGCTATGGTGGAGCAGCTCTTTCATATTTCACTTTATAACATTATGCTATACACCAGGTTGAATCTGTGTCTGCCGGTTACAAAGCTATCCACTGGGCCAGTGCTATTGAGGGTGAGGGGTAGTCTGAGTCTCAGTGTGTTGGACAGGGAATAATAAATATTTTAGGCAAGTGTCTACTGACACAGTGGGTATGGCATCTTAAAATAATTTTATTTAGATCTATGCAATCAAATTATATTTTGTTTCTAAACAGGATATCATATCTCTTACAGCGTATGGTCTCTTAGTTGTTCTAATGTTGCCTGAAGCAAACAATGTCATCCACAACAGTGACTGTGTCATTAACATGCTATAAGGGTTACTAAAACAAATTTGATTTGCTTTGTTTGACAGATGAATCAGAGGGAAATTCAGGTGAAGAACAGAACATGCGCTGTGGCTCTGACTGACTCTGCTCACAACATCTGGCTGCAGGAGACCAGCAAAGGCACACAGGACTGGATGCAGCAGGTGAAATAACCGCACATGCTCAAATGCACAAACACATACTGAAACAAAGACACTGCAAAGTGTACAGGGGTCCATTCATGAGCTCCCGTGTCATGTAAATTCACCCAGCAGTGAGCTGAGGTCTCTCAGGTTTTGCTCTTCTCTAATTTCTCCCTGCACAAACCCACTGACCTACACAGGTATCCCTGACCAACAACTAGGCTTAGAAGTCATAGAGAACCATAGGACCTAGGACAGTTAACCCTCTATGGTTAGTGTGTATGCGGCTGGGCATGCATATGTGCATTTGTGCTTATGGATAATGTGAGATAGAATGCACGTGCACATGTGCATTTGTGTTAGTTTTATTTTAGCACTTGCCCTTTCTGGTGTGACCTCTGCGCCATACGCAGCACCTGGGCTCACTCAGTATGCACATAAAGATGAGGACCATCCAAGACCAGAGCTGCTTGAGAGCCAGAGATGCAAATGTCATGCACGTGCACACACACACACACACACACACACACACACACACACACACACACACACCATCATTTGTATTACATCCTCTTTTATATCCCTTGCCTTTTGTTTTTGCTATTTCTGTCATCTCCCATTTGGCATGTGTGTTTGGTTTAGTGTGTGTTACTTGTCTGTGAATGTATGTTAGTTTGAGTGGTGGGGATTCAAGGTTGCACCGGCCCCCTTCTCCTTGTCTGGCATTTCCTATTTTTGATTCATCTAAGGGATGTTCAGGACACAGCATAATTGCAATATTAAGTGATTTTCTATTTGTGATGATTACCCAGAACAATAAATCTGAAATAACCTTCTTTGTCCAGTCAGAGGAAGGGGAAAGGTAAGGATTTACTCTCTGGTACTCATTAACCTACTGTCCTTTTTTGGCTGAATTAAGAGAAGAGCCTACCTAATTAAAGGACATTTTTCTAGAGGGTAACAGTGGCACACCTATGCTATGCCCTTCTCAATGATACAGTACAACAAAAAAGCTATGAGATGTTTACATCTATAGATTTAAATAGATATATACTAGATTTCTTATGCTTGCAGCCTTATTGTTTTTTTCTTAAATTATTAATTCTCTGCCTTACCAACACAGTTTTGGGCTCAAAGAGTACTCTTTACTTGTTGCTTATTCCAAAGCAATGTTTATACTATGCATTTCTCTCAGTGAACATTAAAGTCATTATGTAAATCATTACATCAATTTTATTTAACATCTACAGAAATTGTCTGAAAACCAAAAAACTTTTATTGAATTTCAGGGAAGCAAACAGGGTTGATTCCTATTGCTCTTTTCATCACAGTAATAGAAAATTGGTGCTAACATTATTTTAACACAAAAGTGTTTTGAACATTTACTGTCTCTGCTAATTTAGTATCAGATGAGGACAACTATTAACAATAAATACTGTAGATCAGTGCTAATCATTGGCATATACAATATTTATGGATATGTTAGCAGCCAAATAATATTGAGGGGGAAACTAACAAAAATTATGTCTTATATTTCAAAACTGATACCTTCAATTTGTTACTCAAAGTCTGTATTTCATCACTGGCTTCTGGGCATGCATGGCAGTGCTAGTTAACAAGCCCCGTGTCAGCTTCAGGATTGAGGTGAATCCAAAATGTTATCTGTCCAAGTCATTTACATTAGAAACCAATGCTGTGGATGTGCAGTGATTCAACCAACAGGTCAGAGTCCCTTTGTGTTCCACCCAATATGCTAATCCCATGGCTCTGGGCTGATCTCGGGGTTTCTATCATTTGCTCAGTTTCCTGATGTTTGGCTCTGAATCACACAATCTGAAAGTACACGCATTTGTTGGTGTAGTGAAAAACAAACAGACATAAGCACACAGACACTGACATTAGATGCACATTTATATCAATAACTAATTCACAGCTGGATCTTGAACGTAAACAACACTTGCAATGCACACTAAGGTACAGACATACACAACACACACACACCGGAAGGGCACAGAGGGGAGCTATCTGTGAACCTGGATAATGTCCTGAGTGGCGTATAAATATGGGCCCTCGTATGAGTGGGTGCATGTGAGATTGGTGCACCCAGCAGTGCACTGCTCTGTTCTCCTCGGACAGCAATAATTCCCTCCCTCTGGGGTTCAAGAGGTCACTGGATGGTGGGATGGAGCAAAGAGGAGAGTAAAAGAGAGGAGATGGGATTTAGAGATCAGCGCCTGCTGGGCTAGGTTATATAGAGCAAATGGGTCAGACGAGGGGTAACTGACGTCACTGCTGGGAGACAAAACATAGAGTGATGGTGAGAGAAAAGAAACAAGAGAGGGAATAAGCAAAGGCAGAGATAGAAAGACTGATCCATTGACTGAGACGGAGAAAGAAATAGGCAAAGAAATATAGTATGAGAAACGTTCAATTATTTAAATCCTGTTGACTGCCGCCAAAAAAGCGCAGGGTAGAGCTCTGGAGAAGAAAAACAAAAAGACAGACATATATGATATGAATGGAGTGAATACAGATGGAGGAGAGGAGATGAAGAGATGTACGTGGAGATAGATGAGTAGCATAGTGAGGAGAAGTGAGTGAGAAAGAGAAATGCGAATGATGGTGTACAGCTGGCAGCCTGTCACAGTCTCCAAGGTGTCTCCTGTCACTGTGCTGGCCTGCTGTCACACTCTAGTGGCCTGCCCAGAGCACACACACACACACACACACACACACACACACACACACACACACATACAGAGTACACTATGGTCATGAATAAACCATCCTAATCCATAGAGATTATACAGCAACTGGAGGAGGTGGGAGAGAGACAGACACAGAGAGAGGGAGCAAGAACTGATACTCAGGAATACTTTCCGAGAGTTAGTTAGTTTGCAGGCTGTCATGTGTTTTATAGTTTAGGAGACTTGTGTACATTTAGGAACGTAAAGGTGCTGTGTGTGTATTCCTGTCACACTTACTGTGTAGTGGATATGGACCTATGAGAGACCTATTTGGTCCTCATGAAGGCTCCATTAGATCACCCTGCCATCAGCTGAGTGCAGTGTTTTGTTTGAGTGTGTGAGTGCATGTGTGTTTGTTGTTTATGTGAAAGAAGCAGACTGGCTTCCACTCTGTCTTGCAGAAGGCAGCAGGTGGTGGATTGCGCGAGCGCACACACACACACACACACACACACACAGATACACATCGCAAAGAAGGCCTTAAAAGAATCTCTCAGAGGTAAAGGGGTAGAGCTGAGACCTGCTTGTCATTTACTCCCTCCGAGCACACTGTTAGCTTAATGGTTAGCTTTAGCACTTAGTGTTAGCCTCTAACTCACCACTTTAAAGGAACTTTTAGAACTTTGTTTCTGCATAATATTGGTGATGGGATTTAAGTAAAACAAAATGTACTATGCAACAATGTGTCTTGCTGTGTGTTTGCATGGGTACATGTATGTTTTCATATCCAGCACAAATCCACACGCAGAGCAGCAGAGGTGGGGGGAGAGTCAAATCTGTTTACATGTTTGTTTCTCTGTCTGCCTTTACTTCAATGGCACCATTGATCGGCAGTCGAGCTGCTTGAAGTGATGATGCTATGCGTCAGAGGCAGCCGATGTGATGTGCCATCCTTTTGTCGTATCGCCCTTCTCTAATCCCAGCCAGCAGGCCCTGCCTTTATGTGACTGCTGTTATGCCTGCGGTCTCCCACAGCACTGGGGCTGTGTGTGTGTGTGTATGTGTGTGCATTTATGCAAGAGTTTGTGTTCACATGTGTGTTGTTGCCTTGACAAATCTATTCAAACCCCGGCCTCCCTGCCTCCATTGGTGGTGATGGTGGAGGTGAAGGGGGAATGAGGAGGGCCCTTTGAAAGACACCCCTCGTTCCCCTCTATCCAGCCGCCTTCAGCCCACTGCTCCACAGCCCAGCTGACATCTTCCTTGAGACAGGCTGAATGAATTAAAGGAGATACAATGAGACACTTGATGTAGCAGTCAAGGAGCCCCGCAGCTTCTGTGCCTCTCTATACTGCACTGCCCTCAAGCCCAGGCTCAGAGGAGAGCACATCTAGGGCAAAGCAAAGGATCTAAAAATACACAATATGCCAGTATTTACCAAGATGACTTGTCATTTTCCCCCAACACTAAACTCCCCCATCCTCCATCTCCCCTCCATTCCCGCTCATCTCTCTGCCGATCTTTTTTCAACTTCTCTGGGTCCTCTTACGCTAGACCCCTTCCGACTGCTGGTATTTTTGATTGACAGTGCTGAAGAAATGAAATATAGAGGAAGAGAGTGAAAGAGCTTTTCTACTATTTAAGAGATTGGTTCAGTTTAAACTTTGTTGATTTTTATTTGTTTTGATTGGATAGGAATGGTTCGAACTCTTTATTTTAATAACTGACTTTTTTGGGGGGGGGGGGTTCAACTGAATTTTGTTTACTTACTTGTTAATATTTTCTAAGGATTTGCGTAAATGGGACAGATGTTTCCTCATGATCATCTCTCGCAATGATTTCTATTATTCTATAAGCTTACAGTAATTAAATCATCAATAAAAAAAGATGTTGTACACATCAAGCAGACTGTAACAGCAGACAAAGAGGGGCTCAATTAGGCATCAAGTATTTTCAGTGTCTCTGTGTACCTTTATATATTCATGCAGAAAACACAAGAGTAGGGTGTGTGTTTGTGGAGAGGTTTATTGGGGATAGCTAAGTAGAAGTGTGATGTGACCCTAGATATTTTGCATGTATGAAGTGTGTGTGTGTTTTTGGATGGGTTGAAATGGGCCTTGGGAGTCAGGGTTGCTGAGGACAAAAATGCGAAAGCACGTGTGCGTTTGTGTGTGTATTTGATTCTGAAGGGTTCACAACGCTACACATCTTCATGGGAGACCCCCTGCAATGCAATCACTGACCCACACACACAAGCGCGGGCACACACACAAGCATGCGACACTGTAATGACTGTCAGAGGGCCAGGGTGAAAGTAAACAAGTGTAGATAAGCAGTGATTCAGAAGGACGCCAGCTGCACATTCTAATCTCTTTACATTTTCTCTTTCTTCTATTGAACTTTTATCTTATCTGGGGAACGTCTTCTCCAAGCATTCCTTCCCAGCCTCCCTCTGTCCCTCTCTCCCTTTTCCCTTGTTTTTGTTCTAACCTTACAAGCCACTGCATACCAATCCACATTGCATGGTCAAAAGGGAAAACACACTTTGATATGTTGTCATCTGCCGACCCAGAGAAAGAAAACTCAAAAGCATGGAAAAAGTATGTTGTTTTGTAGTATGGCATTGATACATTTCATTTTGTACATTAGGTTTGACTTTATGTTTGAAATAACCAAGTAGGAAGAAAGAGGGAGAGTCCACAGACAGGAAGATAAAGACAGCAAAAACCGGATAAAGAGGTCTTCTCCTCTTTCTGACAGTAGAGTTGTCAACCACAGGGGGTTTGAGAGGACTAGGGGTGTTTGCAGGGGGTTATGGGTCAGCAAACTGGGCAGACACCCTCCCCCAGGGCACCCACTGATCTACCATGGTAGAAGGCCTCAGCTCCCCACCACAAACAAACGCCAAGCTGTCTGAGCAACATGTCACAGAGCTTTTAATTGCTTGTTCCTGTCTCTCTTTCTTTCTCTCCCCCACCTTGCTCAGCCATACACACACCTCTTGCTCGCTTATTGTCTCTCTCCTTGTCCTCCGCACCTGTCCCCCATTTCTTTTTCTCCCTTGCCTCCCTATTTGTGCTCCCTTCTCCCTTTCATTCTCAATGTTTATTTTTTTAGCTTTTTTCTTTCTAATATTTATTTAAATTTAGCTTGTTATATTTCCTTTCTTTCCTACTCTCAAAGCATCAAGATAAAAGACGTATGTTTTTTCATCAGATACTTTACCATACCCCCTTATTTGGAGAAGCAACATACAGCTATGACGAGAAATCTGTTCTTAGAATTTTCGATTGTAAAACTCTCTTTTGCTCTCCTTACAGCACTGTTGCAACTGGGTATCGAGTCCAGAGCCCCTGGACACACGCCTGGATCCCATGCTGCCAGACTGCCCACGAGTGTCTGCAGGTATCAAGCCAAATGTGTAAACACACACTCTAACATCAATAACATAACCAAAGATCTACTTACCTCATAATCTGATATCGCCTTACATTTCCAAATACAAGTACTGGCACACTTGTTATAGTTTAAAATCTAACATATCTTTGCATGCAGGCAATAGGCACTATGTCAGTGTCAAGGCAAGTGTTTATTCTACATTCAAAGGTGACACATTCGGGGTTGCATTGTGAGTAGTATGGTTGGTAGCTGCAGTTAGAAACTGGAAGTAGCAGTGGTTCACAACCAGTGATACAGTAATAATAATTTTTTTAAAAAGGGTTATGTAAGAGTTTGACTGGGGATGTTCTCAGTCATGAATATACTGAAAAATCAATTAAATGTTCATTATTCATTACTACAGATTCCTTCAATGTAGCCTAACAGTGGGAGTAATCTCTATCAGTGGCAGGTTATCTTAAACACAGATACTCACAGAAACAGAGGCTTTCTCACACGCGCTACAGAAATGTGCAGTTTGATTTTGTTCTATTTTCGTCATCTTTCTTTTTCATCATCTAGTGTGTCTCCTATATTCATTAATCCTCTCCTGTGGTGTTTGGCTTCCTGTCCCTGTGCCCTCTCTGTGGTTGACTGGCCTTGATGATGTCACGGCCATCATGAGAATGTGTCCTTAATGTAGGATTAGGGATGAAAGCTGTAATCCTCAACATGACCGTTGATAAGAGATGATGATTGCAGTGTTGTTTGAAGAGTGACACACATGCAGGCATACATCCACAGGCACGCACAGACAGAAAAAAAAGGAAAGCGAAGCCTTGAACAGGAAATAATATATCTGTCATAAGTATTAAATGCACCTGTTTTTACTTTGTGTTTATTTAAGCATTAATTGTTACATGTGTATGCACATGCAAACACACTTGCACACGCATGTTCTCACATCTTTGTCTCATCGCTCATTTCCATCATCACTCTGAAAGTCCTGCTTTGCAATTTCATTCTCCTCAAAGCCCCTCAGTGACATCATAGTGAATGTATAGGTCATCTTACACATGCTCCACATGTCAGTGAATACATCTCTAACACCACTATCTCATCTTGGGCACTAAAACACCATGTTCCACATGGACCTGTGTGGGTGGGTGGCCTTAACATCTACCAGTGAATCAGCACCTAGAAATGTCATCTAGCCATTAATACAAAACCAATACTGTATTTTATGTTCAAATGTCAAGGTTTTTTTTACCTTGATGTTTTATGTCTCTTCTCAGTGACAGAAGTCAGTAAAAAGACAGCAACCTTTGAGCCAAGATATCGAGGTCTACTTTTTGAAACTGTTGGCATGCCTGACAATGTCCTAACACAGACCTGTTTGACACAGTGTCCATCTGTATGTATGCACTATTGACTTGTGCTCTATTGACTTTTGCTACTCTAACCACCTGAATAGATCTGACTCTCTGGCCCGTTAACAGAGCTGCCAACTCTGCTTGTCTCTGGTTTTTTGGTGGTGGCTTCTGATGTCAAAGGTTGTCTCAGTCATCTTTGTGTCCTTGGCAGCCTGGCAGGTTCACAGGCAGCAGCCATTGTGGTGAGAGTCACAGCAGAGCAACAGAGGTGACGAGGTTGAGAGAAGGTTGAGGGAAGGCTGTCAGGGCATCGTGGCCCAGCCCTTCAGTCAACTCACATACAGCTCCCAGCAGTCACCTCTTCTGCTACCATGACTGCTGTTGTCTGGGTTGCTATGGTAAGAATATCTGTGTGTGTGTGTGTGTGTGTGTGTGTGTGTAGGTGGCTGACCAAGTGTCTCAGCAACACAGAACAGACCGGTGAATCCTTGTTGTCATGCACACACACACACACGCACATATGCAGACACATTCATCACAGTGTGAAACACCGCTCACTCTTGTGTGGAGCCAGACTGAGCCAGGCCCGGGGCGACTCAGCTGCTGTGGAGAATGGCATGTGATCAGACACGCACACACACTAAGATGTCTGAAGGCTAACAAAGTATTGGATGTGTGCTTACATATGGGCACTGGGACTGGTCAGGCAGCATGATAGGAGAAATGGGTGAAGGATGAGTTTTGCCGTTGGTCTTTTTCTGTCTTTATGTCTGTTCTTCTCTCTCTCTCTCTCTCTCTCTCCTTACTCTTCTTCTGTTTTTGACTTCCTCTGTACATCTCCCTTTCCCCTCCTCCGCTTGTGTTCTGCTTCCCTGTGTGGTGCAGTGATGATATGATGATTGTGTTTTCCATGCTGGTAGACTCTTGGCAGAAGGAGGTAGGGAGAAGTGGAGGCAGAGCTTGTCTGTTATTCCTAATCATCTGTGAAGCAATGCCGGTATACCAGCATGGCACTCTGACGGGGCGGGAAGGACCCAGAGAAGGAGGGAGAATAACATGTAGCGGGGGTGTCCACTAACATCTCCATTTCTTGTTTTAAATGTTTTAAATAAACCTGGACCCATTCCCTTCGCATTTGACTGGCTAGCTTCCCTCCTTTTAATTTTTTTTATCCTCATTTTTCTTCCTTTCACTGTATTCTTTTTTTCCATCTTGCAAAAGGAATTTGTTCCCCCAAGAAGGTCAGTGCTCTGGCGTTTGGCAGTGTCCTGGCACACTATCAGAATTTTATCAGTTAGGAGCACGCTGAACACAGGCTAAATATGCAGATAAAGTGGAACCAATCTCCTGCTGGAAAAGCTCCCTTTGTGCGTGTGTGTGTGTGTGTGTGTGTGTGTGTGTGTGTGCTACAAGGCTGACAGAGGAATAAGTTGTGGAGTGGGCTGCTGGTTAAGTGGGGTTGCTGAGGCCTTCCCAAGATGTAATCATTCCAAACTTACACTGCTGTTGAGATGCCAAGAGAAGGATAAATCCAAAGTGGGAAAGAATAAGGGTGATGAGAAATAGATATATGGAAAAAAAACAGTCTTAAAGAGATTTTTCTTGTAAGGGCTCCTCTGCTTTTGTTAGTTTATTGAATTTTTACCCTGGTGAGATGGATGATCAGTTGTTTGATCAGTAAAGATGCTATTTCAAAGGTGGGAAACACCCCTTTGCTAGTAACACACACATACATAAGCACACACAACTTCCTCTTGGGTGATTACTCATTGTCCAAGCTGATTATTAATTACAAAGGGAGAGCTCTCTGAAGGTAAACACTGATTAATGGCTAACAAAAGTAAGTTAATGTTTTACCTGTACTTTAATTACCATCCCTGCTCTGTTACAAGCATCCCAACACAAGGCTGTAATTAACCCTAATGGACTGCGGATAAAGACTCAAATTTTTTTTACACAACATAAATATGCTACTATATGTAATTTTTTGATGTGCCCACCGTCCTGCTTTCCTACTAGGTTTTGCATAATTAAAAGTGAGGATTTTGTTGAAAGGATTTTTTGATTTTTGTATCTTGAATGAAAATAGCAGGGAGTTGGCCAGAAAAGTGATGCAATATTGTAATAGAAATGAGAAATAATTCCTGTGCAATGACATGGGAGGTCACTCTGCCTTTCTTCTTTACCTAAGGCTCATCCTTCTGTGGCTCAGTGTTATTAATGTACCGAGATACCACAGAGACACAAAAGAGTGCCTGAGAATAAAAGCAGACAGCCTGATTCAGAGCATACACACACACACACACACACACACACACACACACACACAATGTCATGCTCTTATTGCGCTGTCCTGCTGTAGGTTTGACTTGACTGTAACCCTCACCTCCCTGATCCACACACTGCTGACCGTGAAACACCTCTAGCTGTCTGCACTTCTTCACCACACACACACACACGTCTGACTAATGTTAGTGTGATTTAACTCTTTAAGAGGAAACTCAGGCCCACTCAAATTAACCTCACCCCTTCCAACCACTGTTATTTCAGCTTGGTAAGGTGGAAGTCCGCTGCCTTGTTGGACGATCGCATGAAAATATGTATGTGTTTGTGTCTGTGTTTTCACATATGTTTTTCACTGTTTTCTTAGCCTGACCGGCCCACGTTGTGCTAGTGTTGCAGGAAATAGACAAGTAAACTCTGGTGAACCGGACCCTAACCTCTGACCTGGATGTACTGAGGTTGGATCAGGCTATTGTCTGGGTCACATTTGTGACAGACCATATCGTAATGGTGTGGAAAATGCTGACAACAAGGACTCTTGATGTCAGGGATTGGTTTGTCTGTCAGAAACCAGTAATAAATTGCTGATTTGTGGGACAGACTAGCAATTTGGTTTGATTTGTGATTATACTTAAGATATCATAAACTACGATAGATGATCAGATTACCAACTTATAATTGATTTCTTATAGTTTAGCAGTGATTCAGGAGTTCTCTTTATAATGTTTAAATGTTCATAATATTTCCCTTTTGACCCAACCCAACCATCAAACAATGACAGTCTTTGACTATTTTTCTTTAGTGCCTGTGTAAATCTCAAACAACACTTCACTGGATGGCGATTGGCCGATTGGACCGTGCCACCCTCAAACTAAAGTCAGCAGTGATGGGGTCATATTGAAGGCACAGAATTGAAAAGGAGAAGGAAAGTGTTCATCTATTCATTTTTTCCATCTTATGGAGCTGTGTGATTTATGATTTAGTATCTGAATGTTGAGTTGCAGAAGCTTTATGCCATGACATTACTTGGGGAACTAAATCTTCTGCAAAAGTCTTTTTCAGCAAGAACAAAACAAAGTTTCTTGATCCTGGTAAAAAAGAAAAAAAGGTGTTAAGGTAAAGGTGTTTTTATTTCATATTCTATTCTACAGATACCCTGATTTGAAGACACCAGAAAAGTGACAGTTGTTAGTTGAAATGTTAGAACAACGTGAACAGTTTTCAAAATAACAAAAACTGGAAATGTCAAACTGAAGGTTTCAGTTAGACAGTGAGACCTGTTTGTCTATGGATAATAGTCTGTAAACTTGCTTAAAGGAATGAAACCTTGTTTGACAGGCTAACGAATATGTTTACAATTAAAAAGCCATC